AGTCATTAAGTTAAAAATCTTACTGTTTAATGGGACTGTGCCTTCAAATAGAAAAGGGAAGGACAGGAACAACACCATAAGATCTAGTACTACTTGGATATTCCAGCTTCCCTCAGAATCAATGTTTGAGACCCACAAATTCTGAGAAATTGAAAAGTCCTTAAAGATCATATACTCCAATGGGTGTCTATTTGTTCCCTTTTTCATTCTAGCACTTGGATCCTCATTTCAAATGAACTTCCACATCAAAACTCAATATATCAAGTAAATAAGAACAAAGCTGCTCTGGTTGGAGGACAAAGCAGGTGCAGGTATAGAGGTCAAATTTTAACTCATTTGGCCTCCCTCTCATCCCCTTTTCTGAAACCCTACAGCTCAGGAGTGCCAAGTACAGCATTCCAACCTGAAACCAGAAACACTAGACTCAATCTGAGGAGATGGATCTGCATCCCACAAATGTGGAGTGATGCTTACTGTGTGCCTTGGGCCAGTTGCATATCTCCAAGACTTCAGCTGCATCTAAAAGTTTCAACTTCCTGCGCTTCTGTTCTGACTTCAAAACAAAGAGTCTTGGGCCAACAAAAAGAAGGAAAATATAATAATGGACCCTGAACCATTACACTAAGCAAGCCTCTGCTCACACTCCGCTTTTCCCGCAGAGACTGAGATTCAGTGTCCCTGTTTTTGCTTGCCCGACAGAAGCACAGGAAGTTGAAACTTTTAGATGCAGCTGAAATCTTTAAGATTCCAGCTTATTTTGCCTTTAGGCAGGAGACCTATCAAATTCAATTAAACACGTTTCTTGATTTTTCAAAAACTTCCAATTTAGAAACTTGGATCTAAACCACCATAATTTGCTTCAGCCCACCACCATGAAAATAACATCTTTAAGAAACAGCTAACTTCTACTTTGGCCTTTTGGAATAGTAGAAAGGCAGGTACCTAGGAATATGAATCCCCTGCAGGCACCATAAATTTTTGCTCTGAAAATCACTAGGCCCAAGTCTCAGCTAATTGTACTTAGCAATTTCTCTTCTGCCTTATACTGTTTGTATAAAACTCCAACTCTATGTACAGCAGTCACTACTTGATGAGCTCACGTAATCCTTGACTGACAAATAAGAAATCCATTTGAGATTCCACAGACCTCCCAAACTTGCATTCCTTCAACTGCTTCTGTCTTAATTCTTCCCCATCATTGCTAGAGTATAGTTTGGACTGACAGTATTGCCAGGTAGAAAGAATACTTTTTGCTTTTTCATGTCTGAGGTCTCTTATCCTCTGATTCAAATGAGACAGAAAGAAATAGAATCATGCTTAGAGATGGATGCTTGAGACGCAGAAAGGATTCAGAGCCATCTTACACCAGAAGGAATTGAAGAGCAAGGGGTTGTTTAGCCTACAGTAGTAAGATATCTCAAATATCATCAAGACTATCATAGGGAAGAAGCAGGAACTTTCTTTCTTTCTTTCTTTCTTTCTTTCTTTCTTTCTTTCTTTTTTTTTTTTTTTTTTTTTTACAGGCGGAGTGGACAGTGAGAGAGAGAGACTGAGAGAAAGGCCTTCCTTTTCCGTTGGTTCACCACGCGATGGCCACTGTGGCCGGTGCACCACGCTGATCCGAAGCCAGGAGCCAGGTGCTTCTCCTGGTCTCCCATGCGGGTGCAGGGCCCAAGCACTTGGGCCATCCTCCACTGCCTTCCCCGGCCACAGCAGAGAGCTGGACTGGAAGAGGAGCAACCGGGACAGAATCCGGCGCCCCAACCAGGACTAGAACCAGGGGTGCCAGCACCATAGGCAGAGGATTAGCCAAGTAAGCCGCCGCGCCGGCCAAACTTTCTTTCTTGTGAACCATGTATTCTTGTCTGAAAACTCCCAGTGGTGGGAGTTGTCTGGCCCCCAAGCTGGTCTGTTTCATTTGGAGCAAGTAGGATGATCAGGATGTTCTTGCCTGTGACTAGACCTTTCAGATACTTTGAGACAACTTTCATACCCCATCACAAATCATTTCCTCAAATCTTTTCTTGCAGCCAAATGTCACCAGATTCTTTGTTCCTTACAAGATATTTCAAAGACACTCTCCACCCTGTTTAATCTTTTCTGAAATCGCTGTAGTCTATCAGTGTACCTCTGAAAGCGTGAGGTACAAAGTCAGGCTATAGCATGCTGGGCATGATCTGATCAGTGAAGAGGACAGTGGTATTAATGCCTTTTCGTGGTGCAGACACTGTTCATTCAAGATCATCTAAAATCAAAATGTGTTTACGTACCTGTAAGTTTTATATAAGACAACAGTATAATACATGTGCAAACCAACAGAAAAGTGTTTTTTTTCCAAAAATGTGTAATAATAAATCATTTCTTCCTCATTTTGTCGTTAAAGGCTTATTTCTTTCTCTTGTTTCTTAGAGAAAGGGCACCCTAATTAGAGCTTGTGTTTATGCACAGTAAAATTCATATTGCTGGAGCCAGCATTTGGCCCAGCAGTGAAGATGCCTGTTGTAGGGCCAGCATTATGGCCCAGGAAGTTAAGCTGCTGCTTGATACAATGGCATCCTATATAAGAGTGTTGTTTCTGATTTAGCATCCTGCTGTTTATTGCCCCCTGGAAGGCAGCAGAAGATGGCCCAAATAACTGGTTTCTTGCCACCCATGTGGGAGATCAGGATGAAGTTTCTGGCTCCTGGCTTCGACCTAGCCCAGACCTGGCTTTTGTGGTCATTTAGGGAGTGAACCAGCAGATAAAAAGTCTCTCTTTATGTCTCTCTCCCTCTCTGCTTCCAGATAAAATAAAAATAAGCTTTAAAAAATTATATTGCCCTTTTGTATCCCAATTATATAAATGACTATATCTTCTTTCTACCTTTCTTCTGATTATCTATTATTCCATTCATATAGCCTTCTTACTAAAATATAAAAATATTGACAAGAATGAGACCAAAGCTAAGCATTTTTGTCCTACAGAAATTGTCCTTCCGACCTGTGGCCATTCTAAAATTCTAACATCAATTTACCCTCTAACCAATGGTTTTGAGGTCACTCTAAACATTTACAAATCCTCATAAATTTACTGTACTCAATATCGTAGAAAGCCCCAATATTCTATATCTCCATTTCTCTTTGCTTCCATTCCAGAATCCTATTGAAGAAAGGAGCTGTTATTCTGGCAAGTCCTATCTTCAGGATACCAACAATAATATCATAACGATTGTAGATTTTCTTCTAGAAGTTTCTGAAAACAATTTCCTAAATTAATTGTAGAGTCTTTCCAAAACCAAAATCAAGAACATACATTTTTAGACTTTTCCTTTTTTTTATTTGAGAGATAGTACCACAATTAGCCATCACTACATATGTGACATTTCTGTAACTTCTTAATGACTGTTTTCAGTACCCAATGAAGCCATTCTATGAGATGGGATTTAGACTGAATTTTAACAGTAAAGTGTTTTCTTTCCATCTCTAATCCATAGCGAATTGTATCTCCTTTCTATCGATATATGATTTATTCATTTTACATGACTCTCTCTCTTCAACAATGAAGAAGGAAGACAAAGAAAAATATGATCCATTTTAAAAAAAGATAATCAAGGCTCAGACCAGAAGTACGCATAAAGAGTTTGTAGCACAGTGGATTTATGGCACAGCCAAGATAAAAGACCAGCTATTCAAATATCTACTGCTCTTTACATTCTTCTACCGAATCCAAGAAATAGAGTTGCTGAATAATATATTATCACATTGTATATGAGCATTTCCCACTATGATGGAATAAATGATCCCAAAGGACTTTTAGAAAACCTAAGAATTGAAATAGCTCAATCCAGGACACACTGTGACAATCCCTAATCCTGGCACCTAATCTAAGAATTAGTTAGGTTCAACACAGAACCTGTAAGGGTAAGAGGGGATGCTGAAACTACAGAAAGTGGTGCTGAAGTTAAATACGGCTGGAAACTGAAAAATAAACTATCCACACTCTCCATTCATATCTAGTAGACACTGCCTAATCTACTGCGTCAAGGGAATCTGCTGGTAGGCTATGTATCTGCGATTTTTTCCTAAAGACTTTAAGGTCTTGAGAGCTCAAAAGGGAGCAGCTAAGGCCATCTTGCACTCCAGCAAAGGCAGGGACAGATGGGATGTCTTCCACTCTTTATCTTGGGCAAAAAGTTGAGGCCCTTCAATGGTCTCCAGGACTGGGAAAACACCTGAAGCAGCAGATGCCACCTACTTGCCAGAGGACCAAGGCCCACCCAGAGGATGGTTGATGTGTGTTTACTTTCTTTACTTTTGTCTGTTTATGGGATTATTTTAATATAATTTAAAACATATTGGGCTGGAAGGCTGGCAACACATTTTAAGTAACTGCCTCCACAAAAGAAACCAAATTGAATCCTGACCTTTTAAACTCCTAACTTTTCCCCTTTCTTTCTTCATCACACTTTCCAAAGGACTAAGAAAGACCACACGGGTGCTTTTTGTTTGTTGGTTTTGTTTGTTGGTTTTCCTTTGTCTGCTCAGTTCCTCAAAATTTGTGGACTTACACTCTTGTGGATATACTTCTGCTCTGCATAGAGGCTCTGTGGAGAGGTCAGTCCTAGCTTTGGAGACACGGCCAGACAACAGTAGAGAAATGCAATGCTTGGTAGCCTGAACTAAATGAAGACATCACACCACGAGGGGGCTTTTAACACCTTTTTGTAGTGAGTGTTATTTCCTGGTAAGAAAGTAAGCCAAAATCCCACCAAACACTGTGCACATAGACTGGCACAGGCTTGGGCCTTTGCCCCACAGTCACCCCAGTGGTGGACTGGAGGCTCTTACCCTTTGCTCTTCCACCGCTGAATCCAATAGCTTCCAACCACAGTAGGCTGTGGAACATTGGCCAATGAAGAGTTCGCATCATCTTTCCAGCGCTCCTGACCAGACTTCTCTGGGATGAGCGGCTGAGCAAAGTACAAGGCGCTCAGGCAGCTATGAGGAACCACATCACTTACCTGGAGTCCCAAGGATAGCGAGCAGGAAGCAGGAGGCCAGTGTAGTGAAGGCACCGTGGTGTGGCGCGAGCATCCTAGGACGCCAGGGGCAGCGCGCGGAGCGCTCGCTCCCTCCTGCGTTCTTTCACTCCTTAGTCCGGTGAAAAGGCAGGGAGTTAGAACCAAGGTTTTTCAGCAAGGAGTCTAAACAGTGTCCTCTCACCTCTCTCCTCTTACCCCTGAAATCTGGCCCCAGGGCTCCTTTCCCCTCCCCGCTAGCCCCGGGCAGCCTTCTCTTCCTTGATTTGGAACCAGTCAATGCCTAGGCAGTCTCTCCCAGCACTCTCACTCTCTGCTTACCCCTGTCTCACCCAGGCTCCCAATTCTCTGATAACCTTTGGCAGCAGGTGAGCTGTCTGCGTTCCTGGGGAGCCCCTACACCAATCCTGTGACACCACAGGTTCCGCTCCGCTTCTCCGAGGCACTCCCAACTTTCTGCAGAAAAGAGTGAGAGGAGATGGCAAAGTACGGAAGGAGGAAGCTCGGTGCAGCCTGGCGCAAGGCCGGGAAAGAGGGAGGGACACGGGTGGGAAGCCTAGAGGAAGGCAACCGTCCTCGCAAAGCCAGAGGCGGCTAGTGCGGCCAGCCAGGAAAACACCCAGAGCAGAGTGAGGGCCCTAGAGCTGAATCAAGCTGTCGTGCAGTAGGCAGGGAGTGCCTAATGCGGCTGCATTTCCCTTTCCTCCTCTCCAGAGCCCACCGGCCCCCTCCCCCAGGCCGATTTCCCCTTGGCCCGGACGTGGGGCAGGATCGGGAAGGGTGTGGGGGCTTGTCTCAGGGAAGGAAAGGAAACACAGACGTCAACGTGGGTGTGCTCCAAGGAAGACAGTTCTGGAGCTCAACTATGGCCTTCAGAGGCAGAAAGTCTGAGAGACTGCCCCTGCTTTGAGGGCAAAGGTTGGCGACAGATGGGTGCCACACTCTGCTGTGGCCAGACCAGGTAAAGAAAGGTGGAGAGGAAAGCTGTCTGGAGGCTGGTGGGGCTATAGAGATGCAGATTTTAGGGAAGTAATTGGTAAACAATCTGTAAATAGCTAGAAACTCAAAGCAAGTGGGTGTTGGGGACTCATTAACTGGAGAATTTCAGACAGTGAGAGCCCATGGAGACTCCTACAGATCTCTAGTCCTAACCTTTTGTATTACAAAAGAGGAAACAAAGGCTCAGAGAGGTTATTTGCGTTTCCATAGGTAACACAGCAGGACAGAATGGGTGCCTACACTGGAAAGCATTTCATCTTTCCACTCCTCTGTCTTCCCAATGAAGATAGGAGCTTGGGCTATGGAAAGAGGAGAGCAGGATACCCATTTCCCTTGGACTTTGTAGGAGAAAGGATTAATCACAACTTGCTCCCTTAGTTCCACTTACCTCTACTTAGCCTCCTTAAAACTGTAAAAAGAAAATCCAGGGAGTCCTCTGAGTACCCCCAAGATAGACTTAGGGGACCTGGACTCCGCTGCCTACACCATCTTCTTCCTTTCTCTCAGGCTGCCAGTCAAGAGAAACTAAAGCAGAGAAAGAATCAATAACTGACCCCCCACCAAGCAGCTACAGCTTGGTGATTTGATTCCAGAATTAATATTCAAAACCATCAGATTGTGCAGGTGAAACACTTTAGTGATGTAAAAGACTAATAACATTGGGCACATATTCAAGCATTTTTCAAAATTAACCGCTTCAATTTATACAGTTAGAGAAACAGAAGTACAGAGAACAGAAAAGACATGTCCAAGCTCACTCAGTGATCACTATCAAGGCTAGAATCTTGTGACTTTAAAGGTCAGTCCATTCCTTTCCATTTTAACATATGTGTGTCCCCATTTTGGCTCTCATAAAGTAAGTAGTTGCACAATAAGCAGTTCATTTGGAATCATTTTACGAATCACCATTTTCAAACAAGGAAGTGGTGGTCAGAAAGTGTGTGAAACCATGAGTAATCAGGTTAATAGGCAGGCAGATTGGTAAATTGAGGGTGCAAAATGCTTGCTTTCCCCAAAAGTTATCTTTAGCTAGGTCAAAAATGCCTGCCCCAGTCCTTGGGAGCTGCCAATTTTATTATGAGAATAGCAAGGGAGTAGTCATTCCTTCCTTCTGAGCTCACAGTTTACTGTAAAAACAAGTTACCTATCCCACCTCTCAGCAAATAAGATTACAGATCAGGTCTTTTGATGGGTTTTGTCCTTACCTTATAACTGAATGTCAAGCTGATTGTCAAGTTTTTTCTTCCCTAAAATTGTGCTTAAAAACATTACTACCACCAGTCCCTTTGGGCTTTTCCTCCCTTGGAGCCCCACTCCAAGTCACTCTGGCTGAAGGTCTCTGACGTAAATAAATCTTGGTTTTAAGTACATCTTGCCTCTTTGCCTTGTCTGCCCCTAAATTCTTCTTCCTCGTGAGACAAAGAATGGAGGTAATCTTTTCTCCGCCACTGTTTCACTCATAACAAATCTACTAAATTAACCATAAGAAAATTGAAGGCACTCAGTGAAACAAGAACTAGACTGAGAAGCAGGAGGTATACTTGGGAAGAACTTGGGAGTGATCATACACTTTATGAGGAACTCAAGTTAGAGTATATTTGCAACGAGGTAGAAGTTACAGGCTTTGCTTCTCGGGCAATCTGTGTGGTTGTGCAGTACCACCCCAGGTTAAATTAAGTATCTCAGCTGCCTCTTATGGAGACAACCCTTCACTGAATTCAGTTTCAGAAAAGCTGGTTTTTTCTGAAACAAAGTACATCTAGTTTCGCCCAGATGAGACTCCCTGATTTTTGCTACAGTCTTAGAGAATATTCAATTAGGAACATCGGGAAAAGCATTGTGGTACAGCAGGGTAAGCTGCTGCTTGTGACACAAGCATCCAGTACTGGAGTGTCTGAGTCCCAATTGCTCTGCTTCCTATTCAGCTCTCTGTTAATGTGCCTGGGAAGGCAACAGAAGATGACCCAAGTACACATGCCACTCATGTGGGAGACCTGGATGGAGTTCCTGGCTTGTGGCTTCAGCCTGGCCCAGCCTTGGTTGTTGCAGCCATTTGGGTAGTAAATCAGCATATGGAATCTCTCTCTCTCTCTATCTCTATCTCATTCTTTCAAATAAAAATAAGTATATTTTTAACTAGGAACATCAAGGGACCTGGTTTTAGTGTTATGTCTGTTATCTTCGCCCAGTCACACACTTTGGCTAGGTCTCACATCCTCTTTTAATATTAGTATTAAGTGATTAAAAGTACCTACTGGCCAGCGCCGTGGCTCAATAGGCTAATCCTCCACCTTGGGGTGCCGGCACACCGGGTTCTAGTCCCAGTCGGGGCGCCGGATTCTGTCCCGGTTGCCCCTCTTCCAGGCCAGCTCTCTGCTGTGGCCAGGGAGTGCAGTGGAGGATGGCCCAAGTGCTTGGGCCCTGCACCCCATGGGAGACCAGGAGAAGCACCTGGCTCCTGCCTTCGGATCAGCGGATCAGGGCGGTGCACCAGCCACGGTGCGCCAGCCCCGCCGTCCATTGGAGGCTGAACCAATGGCAAAAGGAAGACCTTTCTCTCTGTCTCTCTCTCTCACTGTCCACTCTGCCTGTCCAAAAAAAAAGTACCTACTAGCACTCTGGCCTCAGAATCAGCCCTAAAGGCATTCAGATCTGGCTGAAAAGCCCATGAGAGTATTTCAGGCATGGAAAGCCAAGACACTCTGGCAAAAGATCTCTGTGAGTGAGATCCCAGTGGAAAGAACAGGTCTTCAAAGGAGGTACCTTTCTCTGAAGGGAGGAGAGAACCTCCACTCTGACTATGACCTTGTCTAAACAAGATAAGAGTCAGAGAACTCAGAGGGCTTCCATAGCCTTGGAAACTCATGACTGGAGCATAGAGAGATTACTGATGCCATAGACAGGAGTGTCAATTGTTAAGTCAACAACAGGAGTCACTGTGCACTTACTCCTCATGTAGGATCTCTGTCCTTAATGTGCTGTGCATTGAGACTTAATGCTATAACGAGTACTCAAACAGTATATTTCACTTTGTGTTTCTATGGGGGTGCAAACTGTTGAAATCTTTACTTAATGCATACTAAACTGATCTTCTGTAAAAAAAAAAAAAAGAAAGAAAGAAATTATCAATTCCCAACTTGACTCTCACTGGGATTAAACATGACAATAGGTCTGATCTGATTTCATCATCATTTAAAAAAAATCCTCTATTATTTTTCACTTTATGTTTCTGTGTGGGAGCAAACTGTTGAAATTCTTACTTAATGTATACTAAGCCGATCTTCTGTATATTAAGATAATCGAAAATGAATCTTGATGTGAATGGAAGGGGAGAGGGAGTGGGAAAGGGGAGGGTTGTGGGTGGGAGGGACGGTATGTGGGGGAAGCCATTGTAATCCATAAATCGTACTTTGGAAATTTATATTCATTAAATAAAAGTTAAAAAAAAAAAGTACCTACTATATGCCAGGCCCTGTGCTAGGCTATATTTTGGGAATGCAATAATGAATATGATTGTTTAATTTCTCTTCACAGTCTACTATAGTCATATTAAAAAGATAGAATTTAATGTATTAATCCACCTATGTCAAATTATTTTCACTGCAACTCACAGTAAAAACAAATTTTTATCTCATGACTCTGTACATGCATACATTTACATATAATTGAACTAAAAGATTTATAAAATAATACTTACCTTTACTGCATACTGCAGACTCTGGAATTTTCCATTCTATTCTAATTTCCATTTGTCTTAAGCTGAGTACTAATAACTTGAGTCATAATCCATTAGATGAAGTCATAACTCACACTTTGAAAATCACTTTATTAAAAAATATTAAAAATTGTGTTAAGGGTATAATCAAGAGGGAAGATTTAATTCCACTACATGGGGGCTCCAGAGAAGTCCCATATTACTAGAAATTCGAAATATGAATAAGTGTTGAGCAGCAAAGAGTGATTTCTTGACAAAACCAAGCAAAGACACACAGGCATGAACATTACAAAGCATTCTGGGAAAGGGCTGGAAGCATTGTGTTACTATAATGAGGACAATGGCAAAAGAAGACCCAGAAAACAACTTTTGACTTGTTTATCCAAGCCCTTGGATGTAAATCTGGGAAGTTTTAAGTTGAACCAGGAAGTTAGGTTTGAGTCACCAGCTAAAACCAGTAATTCTCAGATTCAGTTTCTATAGTTGTCTAAGAATTTAGCAATGTTTGCTATGACTGCATAGTGTCTTTTTGCAACTATACTTTTTTTTGTAGTTGGGAAGATGGCAGTACACAGGCTATCTTTGGCAAATGACTTTGAGCAAGTTGCTTAATGTTTCTATGTGGCAGCATGTTTTTGTTAATGAATTAAATATATTTATTTTTAAAATTGTGGGTTGGGGCCAGCACTGTGGCATAGTGGATAAAGCCATCACCTGTAGTGCCGGCATCCCATAAGGGCACCGGTTCAAGTCCCGGCTGCTCCACTTCCGATCCAGCTCTCAGCTATGGCCTGGGAAAGCAGTAGAGGATGAACCAAGTCCTTGGGCCCCTGTACCCACGTGGGAGACCAAGAAGAATCTCCTGGCTCCTGGCTTCAGATCGGTGCAGCTCTAGCTGTTGCAGCCATCTGGGGAGTGAACCAGCAGATCGTGTTGAATCTGTAAATTGCTAAGCATTTTTTTCATTTTTATTG